GTTCTAGTACAATGGTGAACAGTTTAAACTTTCCATTACCTGATTTGTTGACAGTTCTAATACAATGGTGAATAGTGTTTAACATTTCCTTTACCTGATCTGTTGATGGGTTGACAGTTCTAGTACAATGGTGAACAGTTTAAACTTTCCATTACCTGATTTGTTGACAGTTGGAATTATTATATTTACTTACATTTTGAAGTTTGATATGCATGTGTGCACTCAACACCTGAGGGATGCTCATCAGTCCTGATAGGGTTAAATTGTCAGAAAATTTGCATGAGAGGGATAATGCTGTAATTTGTATAGATATCCAACCAGAACAGGTGAATGCTCTGGATATTTTTAGTACCAGCAAGATTGTTGCTCCCACCCATACTTTAAGGTCAATTTCTAAAAAGAGGACTGTTTAAACTCTTTGTCAGATGGTTATAAAGTGTCACTAATGTTGAAAGTCACAAAGTGTAATACTTGATTAACTGTGTATCATGTAATTATGAAATAATGGCAAGGTATTGTGATAACCCAGACAAAGTTCTCAACATTTTATTTTGACTTGCTAGAGACAATGGTAGTTTACAGTGTATCATGACATCTTAGAGACAGAGAAAATCTTGGGGAGAAAGGTCATGACAGTGTATTGTGACATCCTAGAGACATTGGTCATGACAATGTATTGTCATATCATAGAGACAGCAGTGATGACAGTGTATTGTCATATACTAGAGACAGTGGTCCCAGAGATAAAGGTAATAACTGTATTATGATATCCTAGATACAAAGAACATGACAGTGTATTGTGATATCCTAGAAACAAAGATCATGACAGTGTATTGTGATATCTTAGATACAAAGAACATGACAGTGTATTGTGATATCTTAGAAACAAAGGTCATGAGAGTGCATTGTAATATCCTAGACTCGTTGGTCGTTACAGTGTATCGTGATATTCTAGAGACAAGGGTCGTGACAGTGTATTGTGATATCCTAGTTACAAAGAACATGACAGTGTATCGTGATATCCTAGATACAAAGATCATGACAGTGTATTGTAATATCCTAGATACAAAGATCATGACAGTGTATTGTGATATCCTAGATACAAAGATCATGACAGTGTATTGTAATATCCTAGATACAAAGAACATGACAGTGTATTATGATATCCTAGAAACAAAGATCATGACAGTGTATTATGATATCCTAGAAACAAAGATCATGACAGTGTATTAGAACCCCTATTTCCACAATGTTTAATTCAAAAATATTTAGGAATTGATAAAGACCTGCAAATCTTTTTATCATGTCTTTAGTTGCTCTTTT